AAAAATAAATAAATAAATAAAGTTAAATAAAATAATTTTTTTGGAGAGGTTTTTGCTATACGGTGCATGCGCTTGCTAGACAGAAAGCGAGAAATCACCCCCCAGGGGGGATGGCCACGCCACAGTCCCTTCTCCTCCATTCTCCTCTCGGGATCTTGGGCACACACACACATGCGCCTGGCGTGAGTTTAAGCCACCGGGTCTGGGACTTGAACCACGGTCGACTACATGGGAGTCCAGCGACATAGCCATTACACTAACTGCTGGCCCCAGAGAGATTTTTGCTATAGGGCACGTGTGCTTGCTGAAAAGACAGAGAGGCAGAGAGAGAGAAAATGAGAAATCACCCCCCAGGGTGGATGGACATGCACACACACACTCCCAGTGTGAGTTTAAACCACCGGGTTCGTGATTCCAACCACGGTTGGCTACATGGAACCCAGTGACATACCCATTACACCAACTGCTGGTCCCAAAATTAAATAAAATAATTCTTAAAAAAAAATATATTGGAGGGCATAAAAGCAGTGAATATAGTCATGGACACTGAAGACAGTGTGGAACGGAGGGTGGAGGGAGAAGGGAAGAGTATAGAGAAGGAAAGCAGGAGGAAAAAATAGAGAGGCATGACATTTGTGGGACACGGAAATGGTTTATTGCTTGTTGATGATGACATATATAGTATTCTCAACTGGACTGGTCTGAGAAGTATTTCATGTTAGGTAAATTCTCTTTACAAGCCAAATGATGTATAGCGATTGAATGTTTTTTAAAAATGAGAATAAAAATAATAATGTGGAAAAAACATATGTAAAGTTCTGCTGTCCAAATGTAATCACTAAACTTAAAAGTTACATGTGCTGTCATTTAACAGCTATGTTATTGCTCAATTAATTATACCTCTGAATCGAAAACTCAGATTCTTTCCTTTGTTAGCATATATTATGATAAATGTGTGTATAAAGCTTTTGTTTTGATAATAATAATATTAATTAGTATTTATTGAGCCCTTCCCACATGCTGTGCTTTGTGCTGAGCATTTTACATCCTTTCATTTACTACAACTACTCCATGATTAGACACTATTATCATAGCCATTTTACAGATGAGAAAATTAAAACTCATGGAGGGTAATATACTGCCCAAAGTTGCCAATTAAGAAATGGTAGACCCAGGATTTGAATCCAGGTGTATCTAACTCTACAAATCTACTCTCCTACCTATACTCCTTCCTCTGTATTTGGGATTATTTCCTAAGCATAGGCTTGTGGGGGTGGAATTACTGAGCCAAAGGTTATGTGATTATTTGTAAGTCTCTCTTTTTTTGGGGGGGGGAGAGGTTTTTGCTATAGGGCGCGCGTGTGCTCGCCAGACAGACAGAGAGAAACAGAGAGATAGAAAGCGAGAAATCACCCCTCATGGGGGATGGCCATGCCGCAATCCCTTCTCCTCTATTCTCCTCTCAATCCCTTGTCCTCCATTCTCCTCTTGGGATCTTGGGCACGCACGCACGCACGCATACGCACCCGGCGTGAGTTTAAGCCACTGGGTCCGGGACTCGAACCGCGGTCGACTACGTGGGAGTCCAGCGACATAGCCATTACGTTAACTGCTGGTCCCATTATTTGTAAGTCTCTTAACATTGATTGCCACCAGCATGTTTTATCTCATCCTCATGATCATTGTGTATTATTACTAAGGTAATAAGTAAATATTTGACTGATTTGACATATGAAAAAAGAAAGAAAATTATGCCAGGCATGTGTGTGTGCATGTCCAAAATCCCAGGAGGAGAAGAGATTGCAGTGTGACCATCCCCTGTGGGAGATGATTACTCAGTTTCTCTCTTACTCCCTCTCCCTGTCTCTCTGGAGAGATACATGTGCTCTATGGCAAAAACCTTTAAAAAAGAAAAAAAAAGACATTTCAAAATAGAAAGTCAACAATTCCATTGCTCTACGACAGAGTCCCTCCAACTACTTGTGAAACTGTAGCGCAGTGGTAATACAGGAGGGCAGTTTAATGCAGTGATGAAGAGACTAGTGCAGGAGACTTAACAGTCCTAAATTTGAATCCTGATTGCCACTTAGTTGTGTAGCCATGCAAAAATCACTAAAGCCTCAACTTCTTTATCTGGAAAAGTAGGGTTAACAGTAGTACCTATCTCAAAGTGTAATGTGAGGATTAAATGAGATAATGCATGCAAAGTGCATAACATCTGGGCTAGCAAATAGTTAAGAGCTCAATACATGTCAGCGATGATGAGCTTTTGTTCTTGAGAGGTCATTGCCACCTGAGGTGAGAGCTTCCTCTGTTTGAAGAGATGCTGGCCAAGGTTTCTCCTTACTTGCATGGCTCCTTCTCCAGTACCTCTTCTTAGACTTCATTCAAATTCCAGGTAGTCCGATGGACCTCTGCCAGTAACTGCAGGCTGGTTCTACATATGGACAGCTAAGGGTGTACTTGGCCTTGGGCCTATTTCTTCACCCACTATTCCACTTCTTAAGGAACATCAGCCAGAGTCCAAGGTGGAGAGAGACCTAGTTTTCCCATCTCTAAAGGCACACTTTTCTTTTTAAGCACTGGATTGATGTGGCCTGGCTTCTTTCAAAGTTCAGGGGGGGAAAAATCCCTTTACCAGGAAGTTCTGATAGGAACAGAAGGAAACTGATAGGTTGTTTTGAGTTGAACCTCAAATCAGTTCAGGGCAAACTACTCAAAAGAGTCCTCAGGGAAATGGAAAATGTATTTGTTCTGTGGTATGTTTTGAGAATTTGAGGGTTTTAATGTAGTAAAAGTGTCCTGACAAAAATGTTGATGGGCTTATTATGTATTTGTGTAGTTAAAGCAATCAAAGAAGTCCCTTACCGTGTGTTCCCTGTTTTCCCTCCAGGTATTTAGTCTTCTTACAGATCAAGAGAGATCTCTACCATGGCCGGCTCCTCTGTAAAACCTCGGACGCTGCCTTGTTAGCAGCTTATATCCTTCAAG